GCACTAAGCAAACTACTCAAAAACACTTCAGTATATCAGCGCTGTCACTGTCTGTATTTATAGCCTTTTTTTCACGGCGCTGTAGACAAGGGTGTCGTGAGCCTGAGGATTTATGGCTACACGGCTAGTGCTGCCACCATGGACTGTGAAAGGTTAGGATGTTGTTTGTGTCCTTGACAGAAAAACTCCACCATCTCACCAAGAGTTGAACCCAGGTCTTCCGCCTGGGAGCCCAATGTTGTAACCGCATGGCCAACTGCTCCTCCCATGTTTCTCTTATGTCTTTTAAAAACCACCCAACTCTCCTGGACTGCAGCCTCAAACGCTGAACCCCCCCACCCCCCCCCCCCCCCCCGACTCAATGAGCAATTGTTCGGATGCAAATCCATCAGCAAAAGAAAATGTCAGAAAGCCTTTTTACCCCAAACAAAACCATTATATTGGAGAATCGCTCGGTTGCGGAGTAGCCTGCTATTCAACAAACCCTTATTCGAAACAAATATTCTGAGACATACATTTTTTTAAAGGCTGCCGACTTACAAAAATGCCAAGCAGTGCAGTATACTCAGGAATCAAAGCGGCCACACAAACTCATGGTAAGTTTCATACATCACATTAAAAAAAAAAGCAAAAAACATGGTGAAACAAATGAAAACAAACCTGCTGGATTAAATCACAACAGAGTAACAACGGCAGTCTACTACAAGCATGACTTGAAAAGTCCACGTACAAAAATATGTCTAGTGCAAAATATCTAGGGCCCGAAACTATCTCATCACTGCCCAGCAATAAAGTAAGAGTGGTTTGCCCCTTTCTGTGACCTACTTCAGCATCCCTGTGCAAGGTCACATGTTTCATTATCATCACTCCAGGCTTGCTCAGATCAAGCTTGTCACGAATATATACATAAATAGGACAAATATTTCATCACGTTAAACCAATGGTCTCCAACCTTTTACATGCCCCCCCCCCCCTTTCAAGTATATGGCAAGATCTCCTGCGCCCCTAGAGTATTTGGCATGACTTCTACGCCATACCTCCTCCCAACAATACTCAAAAAAATGTGATTTAAAAAAACCAAAAATGAGGACAACAAATTCCGCAACAAGAGAAACAGATAGTATGGTGATACATTTTGGTCAGAATGTGTTGTTAATCTCTAATTCTTCTTTTTCAGCGATCTCTGGTCATTCACATAATTCACTGTGGGCCATAAACTTGGATGTCATCTCAAGGTCTCTCAGGTTTCACCAAAGCTTAGTTGTCAGGTCTACAGGGTGGGGCCGCATGATGGTCCGCAGCTCTGCCAGGAGAGGAAAGTCTTGCAAGACATGTCCTGGAGTCTGTTCAGCACGAAGACACTGGCAGAGAGCTATTTGGCTCACACCTAATTTATATGTGTTCAATCTCTTACTGAATCCCTGTGTTATACTAACTACACTTTTATCCATGGATATATAAACTGCTTTTGAAAACAAAAAAAATGTCTTAGGCAATTTGTTTTATAAATGGTTTTAAATTTGTATTTGATTCACATTTAAACTAAAGAAATTAAAATAACTGATTATTACAAATACAAATGCACTCAATTTAAAAATTACCCCCCCCCCCCCCCCCCCCCCCCCCCCCGAACTCCCCTGGGGTGGGCTTGGGGCATGCCACCAGGTTGGAGACCACTGGTTTACACCATGATCTATTGTGAAAACATGAAACAAGAAAACAGCAAAATAGGCAATGAATTAAAAAGAACCACACACACACATATAAGCTATTTAGAGTTTGGAACTCCACAAAAATTATAGCCATTTGTTTCATATGAGAAAATATAATGATGACCAAAGCTGATCCAATCCCTTTGTTACTACCAAAAAAAAATGTTAATCTACGAGAAACCAACAACAAAAAATTAAAAACTCTATGATCAGGTACTAGTAACATTAAAAACATTCACACTAAAATGCAAAACTTTTCAAGACCAAAATCAAAGAAGGGCATGTTTTAAATTATTGTCTGAAGTCCGGAACAGGGTTGACTTCCAACCTCATGTGACTAACTGATACCAGGTGTCCCATCAGCTTCCATACATGGGAAAACACACTTAGATGTGTCTCCTACACGGCTGAAGAACATGTATAAAGATAAAGCTTTGCTTGCAATGGCCTTGGTGAAATGTTTATTTTTCTATGCATGGAAACTTATGGGGCATCCTGTAGTATCTGTCATGTTTTAGACATAGAACTGTCATCCAATAGTATGTGGCTACCTACTGTTAGCTAAGTTTTAGACATAAGACTTTTCTGGAGGAGATAGGTACATGGACTCGCTATGGAGGAGGACCACGCAAACTTTCTCTGGAGTAGAATTGTTCACAGATAGTCCACAAAAGATGTTTCTTTTTAAAGATATCGCTATAGTTTTTTCTTTTCTATTTTTCATCCTGATGTTTTAAAAGTTTTAAGTACAATCTTATACTTGTGATTGTTCTACAAAAGTTTTCAGTACAATCTTTCACTTGTGATTGTTCTACAAAAGTTTTAAGTACAATCTTTTACTAGTGATTGTTCTACAAAAGTTTTCAGTACAATCTTTCACTTAAGATCGTTCTTTAAAAAGATGAAACTAACAACAGTCCTTTTTAGAGAATATTTTTGTCTCCATCTATGGCTTAGGCATTGTAATTATGGCTTGTAATTCCGAGACACCCAGTTAAATTCTAGCTGCAAGCAATTTAACAAAAGACAGCTTAGCACTGATTTCAAAAACTGTATTCAGAGACTGATTATTCAAAAAATAATGACAAAATACTGAATGTAAAATTTTTTAGACAAATCCAAACAGCCAAAAAAAAAAATGCCTCAGGTTGGGTCCGCAAGTCCTGTAACCAACACACAACTACATCTGTTTAAAAATGTATTTTAACTGCTGAAATGAAGCTGAATCCATTGAAATTTTAGCAGCTTTTAAACTAGCCCCACAAAGAATGATCCTCTCTCAAACCATACCACAAAACAACAAGATTTTCTCTTTCAGCTTCCCTACCAAAACAAACACATACAAGACAAGCATAATCATAGACGAAATTTAATGTTTAAAAAAGAAAAAAAATCATAAATAGTGACAGCAACTTGTGTACTATGGTACATTTGCTCTATTCACATGACAAATAGTCTATCTCATTGTGTTCACCTGTAATCTAGTTTGTACCGGTTTTAAAAAAGCAAATCTGACATCAGTGTTTTATGTCACATATAAACTAGAAACAAATTGTGACAATCTATATGTCACTGTTAATCGAGAAGTGACACAATAACATATTTAGCCCAGTCTAGTGTCTACACTAACACACAGTGTGGAGGTTCATTCTGAATTCAAAAGTAAAAAGGTAAGAAACTAAGTGGACTAAAAAAAAAAAAAAAAAAAACCCAGTTCAAAAGTGAAAGCATCAATACCACTGCACCGGGTTGTCTCCTGTACGGTTTTGTCTCCTGGCAGGAGCACTGGACAAAGCACAAACTCCACAGTTCCAGTGAAGATCACAAGAGATCTCTAAAACACTAAATTTGTCTGAACACAGCAACAACAGCAACACACACACACAAAAGAAATAAGTCCACTGCCTTCATTTCGAGACAAATTGCTTGAGCATTCGATTACAAACTCCCCAAATCAATTCATATCGCCATTCCTTGGAGCTTTACCAAGCTATTTAGATGTTAAATCAACCTCTTGCCATGGAAAACTTTCAGCGAAGACTCATTGTGGTGCTAAGGTAAACCTTCACAGAGATGACTCATCTTGGTGCTAAGGTAAACCTTCACAGAGATGACTCATTTTGGTGCTAAGGTAAACCTTCACAGAGACGACTCATCTTGATGCTAAGGTAAACCTTCACAGAGACGACTCATCTTGGTGCCAAGGCAAACTTTCAGAGAAGACTCATCTTGGTGCCAAGAAAAATTTTCACAAAGAAATTAGGCCCCTAACTCAACTTAGTGCCTAGGTAAACTTTCACAGAGAAGTAAGATCCTGAGAACACCTTGGAGCTTAATTCCATTGAGTAGTTGCAGTTTAATTCAACTACAGGTGATATGAACTCAACCGTGTACACAGCAAATTGTTTAAACATTGTGACAGACCAAACTTTCACAGAACCCACCGACAGTAAAATTCAACTTGGCTAACTAAAACTAACTCTCACAACAAAGTTGAGCAAAACTCCTCATAACAAAAGCATTAAAACCAATCCACTAACAGTATATCTAAGATGTGGTTACTCTCCCTTCCCGCATGGGTTCGGCGACCTCAATTTTGGGTTTTTAAAAAAAGGCCCACTATTAATTAACACACACACACACAAAGTTACTTGGGTGTGCTTTACAGGACAATGCAGAACCTACCCCAGCAATTTTTTTTGCCTGTTGGTGATTTTACCAGGCAATTTTTCAGTAGTTTGTCAGTGCTTTCTGAATTATCAGCTCTCAATACCACTGTCCAAGCCAGTGCAAGGCAGTCCGCTGCCAAATCCCCTGCAGTTGGGATCATAATGCTTAAGCCACAGATGCAGACACTTAACAAGCACGTCATAAAAGGCAATTAAGGGCTTGCTGAAATCAGATCTGCTGGGCTGAAAGGCGCAGATATCTCAGCTTAGCTGTAAACCTCAACCCAATGTGCCCACTGCCCTTGTAAGGACGCATGCAACCGAACAAACTTACACAGTGCTATCAACCCTTTTTATCTGTATACATCACAAAACAATTAATTTTACAAGTTTCACAAGCAAGGAAATAAAACTGCCACTTCACCCCTCCGTGAGTGCATATTCTCTCAGTATAATTTACAACAGCGACAGTTATCACACTGATCAAATGCAACAAACTTCCTGGATACCACGAGCAAGTTCCTTCCAATAATAAGAATTCAGAACTCAACACCAATTGGGTTTTCCTTTACAAAAAAAAAAAAAAAAAAAACATGAACAAAATGAGAAAGTTTAGTTGTTACTTGCAACAGCCTCCCTCTGACTGTTGTGCCCCTTGTTCACTGTTGAGTCTGACTCCCTGTTGTCTCTGCTGGGGTGTGCCTGTTGTTTCACTCTTGGGCAGTTTCTTGGCTGCAGACAAATTAGACAACCATTGTGAGTACACTGTCTTGATTACTAAAACTGTCAAATGTTATGTATGCTCAAACCTACTGTAATGTGCAGAAACCTGGACAATGAACTAGCAACAAGAAACAAATGGTGTCTCTGGAAATGTCAATATACAGAAGAACAGATTTTTTCATGGAAACTTTTTTTTCCCTTTATGTTCACTGCTGTAGAAAGTTCTCATTTTTCGTCCACTACTGGTCTTTAGTCTTGCTCCGGAACTTGATTTTGCATGAACATTCATTTGACAGATCTGGCTTATTTGTATGTAGTCAGTTTCTGGCCTATCAGGCAGATGTAATCTGACTTTAAAGGTTACAACCCTAATTAAATTAGTTGACTTCCAAAATGCTCATTTAGGCAGCAGTAGGTCTATGTCCGCTCACCCCCAAACTGGACCCCAGAACCCACGTGGGGATCATGGAAACAAAACCAACCACACACACAGAGTTTACATAAAGGCTGGGAATTAAACGACAGTAGCCGAAAGGAATACAACATTAAATATTTTGGCCACATTAAAGGACATTACACTTTCAAAACCTGGAAGAGGCACAGATGAACCAGTACGATGGCTGACACAGGATAGCAAGAACACCCTAGCCATGATGAAAGTTCACCCAAATGACAGTCGGCGAGGGACACAGAGATGTTCTGGTGTACCATGATAAAAGCAACATTCCACAAAGGACCTGTCTATGTGATGGTGATGATTGTCACAATAGATTTTAAAAAATGTGGACACAAACAATACACGATTTTTACCACCTAGCATATTTTGCTCTGTCTAATCAGGTGCATGGAACAACTCTGGGTTCAGCATCTGACCGAACACGACTTAAAAAAAAAATTGGCTCCCAGGTTGACCCAGCCTTAAATGGGTACCAGGTAAAGTCATGGGAAGTAAAGGCAGCCAGCGTGGTGCCAACCACATTACCCACTAAGTGCCGATTGGTTTATAAAAATATTTGTCTAACCTACATGCTCAATACGCGTAAACACGCGGAAAAGGTTTCTGTAATTTTATTTTACATCAGACTCATTACTACAGAGTTAAATAAACATAATAAAGCATAAAAATTCATCCTTTTTCATTGACAGAAATTAATCACACTATCAGACTGTGCAACTCTCAACTGGACATTTTTAATCAGACCTGTGATCAGTATTCATCACATGATCTTTTTTTTACAATAAACACGAGAATTCTGTTTTACTGTTATGTTACGGGCTTGGCTAGTTTCGGTAAATGTTTAATGCGTGGTAAATAATGCCGACAGTGAATTCCTCAGCAACTACATGTTCAGAGCCAAACAAATTACATCCTATAACTTATAAACCACAAAAAAGCATGTCAACCACCATTGTATGGTGGCTTTTTAATCACTGACCTATTGCAAGAAAAATGTCATTGACATTCATGGCAGTTTTAGCTGAGGTCTCCATAAACAATAAGCTGTTCTCCTCCGCGTATGCCTGTGCTTCGTCATACTCCACCATTCTCTTGTTTGCTAGATCTGCCTTGTTTCCAGCCAAGGCTATCACAATGTTTGGGCTTGCCTGGCGCTGCAGTTCCTTCACCCATGTTTTTGCCCTTCCAAATGTGTCCTGAAAGGTAAGGCAACAAAATACTTACTAATAGACACAAAAATGCTGGAAATGAAGACAATTATAATTATATAAGAGTGTGCAAGTGGGACATGACTGATACAGGTATTGAGGTGGCCTGGCAAACAAAATGCAACGGACCATGTTGTGTGGAAGGGGCGCATCAGGAAGGGAATAAGAATGAATGAAGAAATGACTGCAGAAATGATGAGAGCTGAGCTTCTGAAGAGAAACAGACTAAACACAAATGTTGACAGCAATGGTCCTGAAACCCCAGGCTGTAACCGCAGGAGACTTTTCTTCTTAACGTGGTCTGGTCTAGCTAGTCACACTCGCCATCACCATGGGCTGTGAGTCCCATGTCTCCTCATAGTGCAATATAACACTACTGTGTAGAAAGATGGCAATCAATCTTGTTATATGTAATCACAATCGACGTCACTGCATAGTGGGCATTTGTGTGTGTGTTCTGTTCTCTGATGCAGAAGCCACTCCAAGGTACTTCTACTGATTGTTCCCATGAGGAGTTGCTTATAATGTCTCCTATCCCAGCCAGATGTGCTTACCATACTTTTTACCTCTAGGTCACACAATTATGTTATATACGGAATAGGATTTACATATTTATTTATTACTTCTGGACTACAATTGTTTCATATACAGAGATATATGACCTGAGTTTTACTGTGGGGTGGGGGGAAGTGGGGGGTAATAACCCTGTTTCTTTGGTCGGAGTTTGAACAGAAACTACTTCTAAATATAAAAAAAAGCTAAAATAAATACACAGCAATTTTACTGAAAACCTAATTCCCCCCCCCCCCCCCTTAAAAAAAAAATTTTTAATGTCGCACCTGTGAGACAACAGCCCAACAACAAAAATCTGACCTTCAAAGAGATTGGTATTGCCACATTTATGCTTTGCGCTTGGAAATATAATGGTCAGCTTTTGCAGAATGTTAACTTTTTCGGAGTGAAAGGCCCACAAGTAGTCATTTCTGGTTGCGTCACGCCCACATAGATATATGGCTACGAGTGCAGAGACATGTTCTCACAAAAGGGCAGTTACATTTCACTGGTTGTGTGTGTGCCTGCTTGAGTTTAACAGGAAGGACATGAATAAAGTAACTACAAATAGCATGAGGGGAGGGGTCCTTATGACCCCAATGGTTTTCTGAAAGCCAATGTGACGTCAAATTTTAACCAAAAGCCTCAGTGACGGAGGTCACGGCATGATTTACCCGCTACACAGTTTTTGTTTTTTTAATTTGTGTATTCCACTTCATATTTCAGCCTGTTTATTGATTACCCCTTTACATATCTGTATATATTTCAAAATTTTTAAGACAATTTGTTTTTAAAATTTATTAGTTTCCTGTGTAATAGGTTTAAAAAAAAAAAAAGGGTTTTTAATCTGAAATTCATAAAGGTTCAGGGCTCGTTTTTAAGCATTCACAGGACAAAAAGGTCAGCCCTTCGGGTACCAAAAAGCACACCTAACCACCCTAACCAGTATCAAAAGTTTCCATAACTGTACTCTCGCTAGTATGTGTGCATTGTCTAAAACAGACTATAGTTTCTTTAAAGGTTTGCTTCTAGCCATATACGTGCTCACCAGCATGAAAAAAATGTTAAACTCCAGAGAAGTTACATAAATACAGCGACCATGGTGCAAAGTCACTTACTGGATTTGTGATGTCATAGACAACAATGGCTGCTTGAGCACCTCTGTAGTACATGGGAGCCAGACTGTGGTACCTCTCCTGCCCAGCTGTGTCCCAGATCTCAAATTTGACTGTTGTGTCGTCCAGACACACAGTCTGTGTCAGGAAGGCAGCTGAAACCATCACACAGGAACTATGATGTTATCCACTACAATGCTTACAATTAAGTAACATTCATATTGCACTGGAACCCACCGGGACATAGAAATAAAGGGAGACCAAAAACCACATGAAGAAGGAAGCTACAGAGTGAAAACAAGATGGAGATAACGTAGGGAGAGCTGTATGCGACAGCGAATGACAGACTGATCTGGCGAGAGTTGGTTGAGGGCCTATGCTCTACTTGGGGCTAGAAAGGCAGAATAAGAAGATTTATACAACATATTTATGCAGAGATGTGATTTCACAGATTAAAAGGGAGAACAACATGGACAATGGGTGTGAGTCATGGGCAATGACAACAGCTCACAGAAGCCAGCTGCAGGCCTCGGAAATGAGATACCTGAGAAAGGTGGTCCAAGTGACAAGAAGGGACAAAGTCCGCAATCAGACAATACGTCAAGATCTTGATACCCAGCCCTTACTAACCCGAGTGGATCAGTCACAGTTACGATGGTTTGGACATGTGTGCAGAATGGGAGAAAATCGGCCACCATGGCAAGCATGGGAGACTAAGAACCAGGGAACCAGACCTCCGGGACGACCCAGGGTGCGCTGGGAAGACAACATCCGACAGTCCCTGACTGACAGAGGACTGGAATGGAACAAAGCCAGAAAGAAAACTGCTGATAGAGACGTCTGGCGATCTCTCTGGCAAACCTCTACACCCCAAGGTAGAAGGGGAGCGACTAAGTAAGTAAGTAAGTACAACATGGACAGATAAAAAGAGCAATGAAGAAAGACAGTGAATTCTAAAGGCAAGATAACAGCAGGAGGTTTGAAATAAAGCATGCTGCAGAAGCTGAGGTAAGTGAATGTATTGGCTGCACCTGCAGTGAAGTACATTTAAACCTTAAAGAACAGGTCAGTTGTACACACAGAATGAAACTGAAAGCAGCTGCCTTTCCAGGTAACTTAAGACAAATCCTGAAAATTATCTGATGGCCATTTGGCTGAACCTGAACCAAACTGGTTTTGAAAAAAGCCTCATCTCTTCTCGGATCAAGTCTGGGCCACTACACTGCAAAGTAAGCACACTAACCATGAGATCACACACACCCACAACTCTGGAGGTTTCCATAGCAAAGTAAGCACACTAACCATGAGATCACACATACCCACAACTCTGGGGGTTTCCACAGCAAAGTAAGCACACTAACCATGAGATCACACACACCCACAACTCTGGAGGTTTCCACAGCAAAGTAAGCACACTGACCATGAGATCACACATACCCACAACTCGGGGGGGGGGGGGGGGGGGGGGGCAAGTTGCCCCAAGTTATTCCATATGGCTTAGGCCTCCCTCTGCAGAATGGCTAGCTGCTGACTGAAAGCATCCAAATTGCCTATCTTCTGTTGCTTTCCCTAGTCATTTGTGTAAAATTTGCACCCCTGAACCGAACAACACGTCCGTGAAGCAATCCCACACCATTCGGGTGTGAGGCAAACAGTTTGACCACTTTGCTGTGGGGATCCCCACAGCAAAGTGGTCAAACTGTTTGCCTCACACCCGAATGGTGTGGGGTTGCTTCACGGACGTGTTGTTCGGTTCAGGGGTGCAAATTTTACACAAATGACTAGGGAAAGCAACAGAAGATAGGCAATTTGGATGCTTTCAGTCAGCAGCTAGCCATTCTGCAGAGGGAGGCCTAAGCCATATGGAATAACTTGGGGCAATAAAGTCTCCTCTTGACTTCAACTTTAGCCAATAACTTTACTACTGTTATGCTGTAATACCTTCTTGTCTGCATTCACAGGCCGTAAACAACACTGGCAGAATTTTCCATTTTCTGTCCACTTCTGGATATTGGCTTTATTCCAGAGCTTGAGATTTTCATGCACATCCAGTTTTCAAATCTGGTTTATCTGTATGCAAGGTGTTGCTTTCTCTCCTCTCCTGCAGGTGTGCTATCACTTTGAAGGAAACACCCCTAATCAGTGACCCTTCACAAACTGCTGGTTAACAGGCAGTAGGTCTACTCCCTACCCCCCCCCCCCCCCACACCTTCCCGACAAATGGGACCCACAAACCCACAAGGGGGAGTCAGCCAAAATGTCCCCTTTCCCCGATGATCAAGAACTTACCTCCAATTGTGCTCTCCTGGTACTCATGGAACTGTCCTTTGACAAAGCGCAAAACCAGACTGGACTTGCCCACCGCAGACTCACCAAGCAATACTAATTTGAACTGACATATTTTGCCCTGAGTTGCCCCATTTGGACGTTGCTGACCGCCTCTTGTAGCCATTCCTGTGTGTTCTGTGAGCTTTAATTAACACTCTGCCAAAGAGTATAAGAACTATAATTAGGTGCTATACAATACCTGAATTTAATTAACTCTGAGAATTGATTAACACTGACAAAGAATGGAAAAACTATAGTAAAAACTTACAAAGTATCTGTATCTGGTTACACTGAGATATTAATCCCACTGTCAAAGGCTGTTTAAAATGTACTTAAGTGTTACATGATATCAACTGTGACTCAGGGCTGTAAATTATAAGCAAATCTGGTGACCTCTTCACTGCCAGATAGGTTAACATGGAATATTATATGTGTTGCCATGAGACAAGGTACAATCAGGGCTGTATTTATTATGCATACTGTAAAGTCATGAGACAATACACAAACAAGGCCATAATGTGCAGTCATTTATTTTATGCCCCCTCTTCCTCAGCATTGCTACTGCCAATACTTCTTCTGCGTTCATCCAAAAATGCAAATGAGTTGTGCTCGTTTACATAGCTACAATATTTGTGCCTTTGAGCCAACACATCTGACTTCTACAGGTATTTGTTGCCTGGGTTAGTCTTCCCGGTTATTTCCATACTCCTTTAATGCCAATATACTAATCTAATGCTGGTTTCATAATGATAAAAGCAATAAAGATGTAAACATTTTATTACTATTAATTATATTCTGGGGCCCCTAGAATTATACCACCCTGTGAAGCTGCATATGTTGCACACACCTAAATATGGAACTGTCTACAATGTACTACGCTCGCCTGTGGATCAGAAGGTAGGGGTCCTGACGGCACTAGATTTTTTTCAAAAACGACCTTGACTCCCCAGGTCAACCAAGCCTTGAATGGGTACCAGGTGAAGTCCTGGGAAATAAAGGTGGCCTGCGTGGTGCTAACCACTTCACCCACTAAGTGCCGATTCGACTATAAAAGGTCTAGTAATGTGTGCCGAAAATGCTTGAAGGCAGGGAAAGGGTCCTTTACTGTTATACAATGAACTGCAATTAGAGAATTAGAGAACACTGTCTTGCATAAGCTATTTCTGAAATGGTACTTCACAGAGTGGTATTCTAAGTCTGCTGGTTCATTTTATGGGCTATAATATCTAAATATAAAAGTCAGTGGTTACAAGTACAATTTGAGCGAAGTTGATGGATTTCTTAGTATTATGTAATCTAACTAAACAGAAACCACCTATCTGAAAATTACATACACAATAACGTATTATAGGATTAGTGAATATAATGTAATATTCATGTCTTTGCTGGATCTGTAACAACAACGCCTCTCCTTTCAACTACGGCAGGTAGACAACAGTAGACGGCCAGTTAGTCGTAGTTCTGTCCCCTGGCTGCAGTGCAATTACGGCATGGAAAGGAGGGAACGAAACAAATGACATAATTACTGTGTGTTGGCGATAGACAGCGTGCACTGCCCTGCTATAATCATACGGTTACGGCTTGGGTTAGAGTTAGGTGTAGGGTGTGGGTTAGGGTGTGGGTTAGAGTTACGGTTAGTGTCGCCGCATCTCGTCTTCGCACAAACTCATAGTAGCAACCCAAACCCTAACCCTAAACCTACCCCTAACCCAAACGGTATGATGACAGTAGGGCACTGCACGCTGTCTATCGCCAACACACAGCAATTATGTCACTTGTTTCGTTCCCTCTATTCCAGTCCGTAATGCGTCGCAAGAAGCGGTAATTGAACGCGATCGCTAATTTGAGTCGCAGCGCGGGGTTTGCCAGGCATGTCGACCTCACTGTGTTTTCTGATTCGTGCCTTCTCCAGTCCGTAATTGCACTGCAGCCAGGGGACAGAACTCTGACTAACCCGCCGTCTACTGTTGTCTACCGGCCGTAGTTGAAAGGAGAGCCAAACAACAAAAGGCATTAGGTGTGACTGGATATTATTATAGCTAAACTAGATGGCTGGGACTCACAAGCAGCAGCTACCGCATCTCCTGTAGCTTCCTTTATTTTATTTGCTCGTGATTCCCAGCCATCTAGCTTAGTCCCACTCCGCATGTAGTGGCACGGGAGATACTCTCGGCGGTGGCAGTATATCGCCGGGAAGAGGTCCCCAATTTACATGTGACTGAGGCCCTGTTAGGGTATATTTTTGGCCTTCATAATTTGGGACCGTTATTTGGAGGATAGCCCATTATTCTATACTGTGTGTGTCTGTTGTCCAGTTTCCATGTGAATCGTTTGACTCCACATGTTGACACTGACTATCAACCATTTTCTTACAAATAACATACTGAACAGTTATGTACTGAGCAGGTATGTACAGTATAAACTATATTAACTATATGCCCTTTTGGCAAAACTGCAGTATCTCATTACTATTACTATAACAGTACAACTACTGCTATTGTTAAGGAAGATTAACTATAATCTATATTGTGAAGTAAGCTACAAATCAAATACACACACTGAAACTATGAAGTAAACAAACACTGAAAAGATAACTAATTAAACATAGTAAACAGTAAATTATAAATGCCAACTATTTTATAATATAAGTATTCAGTATATTGAGTATCAGACTGAGACCCAGATCAGTCAGACTGATCTATGATCTTTAGAAAAAGCTCAGCTCAGCAATAAAGAAAAAAATTACGGGCTAGTGCTTGATAATAATAATATGGAGAACACTGGTGGATACATGTTACTCACATTTGTTCGAAACCTAAGCAATGTTGTTTTAAGTTAAATGTGCAACGATTTGCATCGGTTTACTCAAAACTGCTGTGTAATTTTGCAACTAAAGCTGAGGTAATTTGTAAACACGGAAGAGGCAGCCGCTATGACTAACTAGTATAACAACAGGTCGGCCATATTTGTGACTGGACACCAGAAACCAACCCCCTGCCTGGGTCTTATTGCACTAGAAAACTGGTTTCGCTGCTTTATACATGCACTTACCAATTTGTTTGAAGACAATGTCCAATAAAAATGGCTAAAATGTGTGATGTGGTGACACGGGAAGGAAATTGGTGACAGTCAAAACAAGCAGAAACACCCTCTACGATGTTGAACTAATTTATTCATCTAAACGGATATCAGGCCGCGCCCCAACCTAGTTCGAAATTAAGAAATGTCACTGAAAACGCCACTAATGTTCAGAATAACACTTTAAAGTGTGATAAAGTTCAAATTTACATTTTGGAAGATCAAAAAATTAGTTGAAAGAAACTTGTGTGTGAAGGATTTCGCTGGCGTAGTAATCTTTATTGTTATACCATTCATGACATGACGTCATCTCTTTAATAAAATGCACTTTAATGAGAAAACAGCAGATTTCGATTTCGGTCTTGCTACAATCGTACCTAATTCTTTATTTAACGACACACCATACCGTACTGCCATCTTCTTCTTCTTCTTCATTTTCATCTTCTTCCCTTATCTCTGAGTGGAACTTAGGCTCCGCCAACCAAATGGCATCGTATTTTTATTTTCAACTGTGTTCATAGTTTGTCGACTTTTCCAGCTACTGTTTTTCACAAGTTGTATTATCCAAATTCAAACCCATTTCTATTCTTACTCGTTTCTTAAAACATATTTACTATACCGATGGTACAGCAATAATTTCGCACAGGCACCGTTATTCATTTTTGTCCACTTCATACGAACAAGTTGACAATTTATTCATTGGTGACTCCACTCTATACACCATACACACGCACGCGTCTGTGTGTGTGGGCGCTCGCGCGTGTGTGTATTCGATAGAAAACTTGATGCACATAACCACCCCCTCCCCCTTTCCCTCAGAGAACTGCGTGGCAAGATCAAGCAATTTATTCCTAGAGCTAAAATCTGCACATAGAAGGGCAAACTGCGAGCAAACTGAAGTATATATGGAAATTATATTTGGCAGGTGCCTGTCCAAAGACCACGTGGAGATGGTTGTGACAAGATGCCAAAAAAGACTCAACGCACTTAATTCTATGACTGCAATGGACGTAGAGCAGAGAATACTTTTCACACTACAGCATCGCCTGATCCTTTCCGTGACTGATTATGGACTAGGACTGCTTACTGTCTCACAGAGTCAGATGATTAAACTAGAGCGCATACAGTACACATCTATGCGGGTCATTCTGGGTTGTACCAGATACACCCCAGTGGTGTGTATGCGATACATCCTTGGTTTGCCGACTGCTGCATGTAGACTCTAGAAGCTGCAGTCGAAGTCTTATCTCAAGGTAGCTGCAGACACAGATCACCCTTTGCAAGAAGCTCTAAACGCAGTTCAGGATCAGCGGCTGATCAAAGGGAAGTCAAGGATAGCTTAGGCAGAAGACGCAATTAGACAGGATTGCAACTGGGGAGCATTAGGCGAGGAGAGGAGTGGGTCAGAGGAACAGTCAGATGTGTAATGATTCATAATCACATTGAGCCGGAATGACAAGCAGGTGCCGCGGAGGTAATAATTCAGCACTTAATTCAAGACAATGCGCGCTCAGAGGATGTGATACAGACGGTTCAGTGTCAAAAGGAAAAATAAGTGCTTGGGGGTTCTTAGTGAAAGCCAATGGACGACGTTTGGTGCAGAAGAGCCTAGCACACGATACCACAACATTCAGCTTGAAAATAGAGATAGAGGTGGCCACTGCAGTTGTCCGCTGGTTAACTCTTTCAGTACCAATTAACTCCCCATACGTCTCGAATTCATTCTAGAAGTAGCATGATATACTTGATGTCTTATACCACAGACATGTGTTATGTTAACCCTTTGTATTTCAATTAATATTTTGACTACTTTTGTCATACACTGTTTCTATGAAACTTCCCTAAACCCAAGAATCTGTTGCTTTAAAGCTAAGTTCTGTGGGGTAGAAATAACTGCCTGGGACTAGAAGAGTTAAAAACATGACACACACATATCGTGATTGTAACTGACTCCGAGAGCATGTTGAGAAAGGTGAGGACAGGCATGCTTCGCGCAGTGCATTGTCTGGATCTTTTTACTGCGTTATGTTTCATGCTGTTTATGAA